CCCGCCTGGGGCAGGGCGAGTTTCGCTGTAGGCAGGGACCGCCCCAGGGAGAGACCCCGGGAAAGCCTCTTCATCCTTAGCCCCGCAGGACCGAGGCCCTGCCGACTGGCTGAGAGAGGCACAGGGGCCGGGGGTGGCACATCCCGTTCTACAAAAGCCGCTCTTTATTGCGAGGTGGGGTGAGGGCAGGGTTCAGGGAGCCCTGGCTTTGTGGGTGGTGTGTGGGGTCCGGGACTGCAGGCTGTGGTGAAAAACCTTCATTGTTTTCATGGTTTGTTTTTAACTGGATTTTGAAAGGGTATTCTTGAGCATATTTAGGCTGGAAATAAGGGTGGGGTTTTTTTAATTGTTCACCTGACAAAAGACCCTTGTGTCTTGCTCAGTAAGTTGCAAAGAAACCCTTTTGCAAACTTCAGCTAAATTTCAGTGAGCAAGAGAGGTCTCTGCATGCGGGGTTTGGGGCAGAAGAGGTGGGCACAGCTGCTGGGACAGGCAGGGTGTGAGCAGAGTCAGCCCTTGGGTCTAGCCCGCCTGTCCACCTGTGTGTGCTTACCAACCCACTCAGCGTGTGCACTCTGAAGTGCAGAGCACAGGGTTGCTTGCCTGTCCTGTGGAAGTGGTGTGAAGGAAGGCTCTGGGCTCGCTGTGCTGTCTCTGCTTGTAGTTGAGTAATACAAGGATTTGGAGGAGGGTAAAGAAGAGTATGGGTTAAGTGTTACAGGGATGAGGCCTGGAGTTGAGAGTTGTCCTGTGGTTGGTCGTATCCTGTGCAGATACAAACCCAAGCCATTTTACTTTTGCTGAGCTGGTCACAGAATAATCTGTTGCTCCTAGGAAAGGCTTCTAGAAATCTTTCCAACCTTGTGTTGTGAGAAGCATTGCGTAGGAGCAGCGTGGTTTGTTTTTTTCAATGGTATTTGGATCCAGACTTCAAAATGTGAGTCTAGTCATGTATTTGTTGAATGCCATATTGTCTAAAGCCAGATGTGCTGTCTAAGGTAGGGGGGCTGCTCGATGAACTTGTAAAGATCAGGAGAGAGAAGCAAATGTTCCTTTTTATTAACGTCTTCAATGAACATCATGTGCGTAACTTGTTAGTGTTCGTTCTTCAGTCATTCTGTTTTTCCCCACTGCTGGTTACTTCAAGGGTTTAACTCTACTGGTTGGAAGTGAGGGGTGTTGCTCTCCCTGCCACAACTGCTGAAGAGCAGGTAAAGAAATGTTTCTGTCAGTAACCTTGGGAAATAGCATCTCCAGGAATTGTTCCTAATGTAACGTTGGTATAAGGACTTTAATTTGTAATTTGGAATTTCAGTGAAAAACATTTGACTTTTTAAATAATTGCTAAAAATGGTGACCGGTTTGTTTTTTGCTTTTCAAGGCCTCACAGAACTGAGTTGTATGAGGATTCTCCATCAGCATGCTGGCCTATCGTATATTCTCCAGACTACAACATCACATTCATGGGACTTGAGAAGCTGCATCCATTTGATGCAGGGAAATGGGGAAAAGTAATCAATTTCTTGAAAGGTAAAATAACAGAAGGTACCTCCTAGACCAACACTTGCACAGAAGCTAATAGGAATTTTGTTGTTAGAGCAGACTTATGTTAATGATTGCCAATATAATAGTGACTGTAAATCTTAATTTCTTGTTGTGTAGATTTAAGCTATACTCTTTAATCATATTTGGAGTGCTTTAGTGTTCTTATACATTTGCAGGCTTTAATCTTAGCAAGTTAAATTGTAGGATTTCTGAGGTGGGTTGGATGTCATGTGTTACAAATTGTTGAAGATCCTGTCTTTGAAATATTTAGAAGATGAAATTGTGATGTTATAGCAAACATCCTACACTCAAATTTCATTGCTTGGCCTTTACGAGGAACGCTCATGTGAATTATTTGAGAAGTGTTTCCACCTCTGAAGTGAGCACCAGAATCTTGCCTTTCAGCCTTGCTGGAGTTAGGTGCAGAACGCTGGAGCAGCCTTGTGGATGTAGCTCAGTGTGCCATGTTTTGATGCTCAAGAGATTTTTAATGATTCAGAGACTTTCTTTCAGCTCTAGATTAATGTAAGAGAGCAAGATTTTCTTTAAGTAACTTCTTGAGGATAGGTGCCGTCTGCAGTTTGTTTCCTCTTTCTTTTGAGGACCAAGCCTGGATCTAAAACAGAACACAGACTTCAGTTTTGTAGCAATGAATGGAAAATTCTTCCTGTGTTAGCTGTGAGCTTACAAAAGGTTTGGCTTGTAAGACCTCAGCTGCAGTTCAGGAGTACTGTGTGTAGCTGCCTATGGCCTTGTGCTTCAATTGCTTTACACCTGATGTAAGATGAACTGGGGCATTCCCTGTGGCTTGTGAAACTACAGGTGTTAATGACAGGCTTGCTGCAAGGTGTAACTCAGTTACTCATGAGGCTGCAGACGGTCTGAGCGGCACTTCTCAGGCTGAAAGATCAGCACAGCTTGTATAAATCCATTCTTTATCAACCTCATTATATTAGCCTGTTAATGTTTGGGAAGAGCTTTGAGAGGCCTCTGGTGACAGGCAGAACTTTTTGTGATGGTGCTCATTATTGGTGTTTAAAGAAATTGGAAGATACAGGCAGAAATACATTAAGGAAATACAAATATAAGAAGCAAGTTTAGGATGAGGGCATGTAAAAGTCTTGCCATCTCTTAATCTAAAGTTAAATGTTGCTCATGAAGTTTAAATAAAAAAGGCTTTTTTCCTTGCCAAGACAAAGGTTATCTGAGAGCCAGGCCTCTTCCATTTATGCAGTCCTAATGACTCCTTCAGCTGATCATCTTTTGCACTTAAGTATTGCCCTTCCAACTTCAGGCTGTCTTGAATTCATTTAACCTCAGTTAAATGAATTCCAACACTCCATTTAGTAGCTGAGTTTTGGATCTTCTCCCTAACAACCTTAAATTGTTAAGTCTCAGATTCCACAACCATTTTCTTAATGAATCAAAACCTTTGTGTTTCTGCTCCTTTTCTGTATGAAGTCTTTTCCTCTTTACTCTGTCTTTCACAGAAAATTAGTTTTCTCGGTTGTTTTAGGCTCCTTGCTTTGTAAAGGAGAAAGAAGCCACAGGATACCCTGGGGCACTCTTGGTTTTCTCTGGCTCTGTAGCAAATCCTGGCAGCAGCCGACCTACACTGTTCCCTGTCGTATTCTAGAAAATCACCAGTGAAAATCTTTCTACACTCCCCATCTCCTTCCTCAAGAATGGAACTGTTAGCAGTTTGGCTTTCTGTCTGACACCAGTGAATGAATGAAATGTTTCTCAAGCCTCAGTCAGGAGAAACATAAGCTTGCCAAAACAAATATTGATGCAGGTGCTGTTCTTGTATAGCACTTCAGAACAAAATCTCTCACATTTGTGAGGTTTGTTTTTTTCTTTCTCCTCCAAGTATAAAATTGGAGAAGAAGTACAGTTTTAGAAGGCTGCAGCTGTGCAGCAATTAAATATCAAAATTTGTCTGGGAAGATCAGCATGATGCATTGTATTTGTCATCTGTGGTGATCATATACAAAGCAACATTTTTCTCCTGCACTGCTTGACTTTCTTAGTTGACCCTAACTTCAACTTTCTGGCAAGTACATCCAGATGTATGCATTCAAATGTATTATCTTTGATCACATCCTGAAATCTTTGAGAGAGATTTTGTAGCTTGCTTTTGCAAAACTGGGTTTTAAAATAAACTATCTTTTGGTCTCCAAGGGGAAGAATTAATAGCTGGTCACTGGTATTTCTTGAAATTAAATGGAGGTGGGGTGTGACAGAAGTATCCTAATGAATCATAAGTGTTTGCTTCCATGAACATTGAAGCAATTATTTTTTATTTTTTAATTCCCCTCTGATTTAGGAAATTACATACTAGTATTAGCTGTGGAATTTCTTAAAGAATGGTGAATATTTGATGGTATGAGCACCAAGATTTCCTCAGCGTATCAAGCCTTAGACTGTAAGGAGTCTTGTGATTCTTTTGTATCTGTCAGTACCTGTCTTTCAGTTTAAACAAGAAAGTTACCATAATTACACTCTGAAAACTTTGTGTATACAGTATTTATCATATACACATTACCTTAATAGCTTCCATATATAGAGGGCATGTATTTGGAAAATTAGTGAACGTTACATTACATTATAGATGAAGTTATTACATCAAGGTCAAAGTCACTTCTTTGGCAGGGTGGAATATGGGAAGTTAAGCTATGGTATGCAATGCCAATTGTTATTTCTCTCCTGTTTCAGAAGAAAAACTAATTGCAGATGACTTGATTGTACAGGCACGGGAAGCTACTGATGAAGATCTCTTGGTTGTTCACACAAGGCGCTACCTTAATAAATTAAAGGTGCTGTACTTATTGTTTTTCAAGCAAACTGTCAAAGGCAACAGATATCCTACTAGTTTTCTTACAGAATCAACTTTACAGATTATAAAGTGGTGTATTTTGATAACATTGTCATTGAGAATACTTAAAGAAAAATATAGAAATAGTAGGCATTTCACACTACAGAGATGTGGAGGGGAGAAAGGGTCTGCCATGTTATATAGGTGACCTGAAATTATATTTCAGAAAAGTTAGAGGAACGTAAGAAGAATTTTAATGTTTGAGATGCAAATAATATTCTTCTTAGTGTGGGAGTTTAATCTTCAGAAGTTTTTACTCTGTTACAATACAGTTCTGAAGTTGAAAATACATTAGAGAGCATTAAAATGGAGAAATTTAGTGGATGTTTTTAAATGCAAAGATTGCTTTGTGGGTTTGGGATTTATTATCTCAAAAGAGCACCCATATAGGGACTGTGCTGTGGGGGGATGTACTGTCTTCATATGTACACTGCCTGTACCAATGGAATATGGAGAGACCTGAAAGATCAACGTAGGAGCATAACCTTACATGTTATCTGTGTGTGAAGCTGTCTGATACCAGCTCATACAGGATTACATATTCACAGGCAATAAAGAGAATTCATTGGGTATTTCTGAATGAAATATCCATTTGCTAAGCTTCAGTGTAACTTCAAAACATAAACATGTGAGAACTCTGTTTCTGAATATATTCAGTCATCTGTAGGTGGAATTGGATAATAGATGAGTACAGGTGACTTTGCTTTTATTTTGCAACTCTTTACTTGGAGGGCAGAGAAGGGATTTGTATGAGAAATAATCTTCCATTTCATAATTCAAAAGAAGCTATTTTGAGTCATCTTTGCCCTTCCACAGTGAAAGAGTTCTTGTCTTGCTATTTCTGGAATGTTTTCTTTTTCTGTGTAAGGGATCTATTATTTGTGTGAACTTTTTTCGCTCTTACTCCTTTTTTGAGTTCTTTTTTTCATTCCATGCTATGAAGTTACATTCTATTTCATACATCATTAAATTTGATCTTATTGCAGCTATTCTTGATATTGAGCTTTTAATTCCATAGAACCACCCACCTCTTTTTACTGAATCACTTCTTTGAAGCAGGTTGTAATGTGCATAGCTCAGTTTTGAATACCATAATAATATTTTTAGTAGCTACAGGATGGCTTCATAGGGAATTGTGTGTATAAGTTTTGTCTTGGTGTTCAAGACCAGTAGTGTTGCGTGCATTCAGCTGTGATTAACTGTGTTTCTCTCATTCCCCTTTTCTTGAGAGACTATTTCCTGCGACTGTAGAAACTGGAAGATGTTGAATTGGTCAAGCTGGCAAATTCCTGCCAAGCAGCAAGGATAGAAGTGCTTAGTGGTAAATGGAAAGTAACGTGGCTCGACATGAGAAGGTCCTGGGTATCCTCTGTATTGTCTTAACCAAAGTCTGCTGTGCTATTTTTTTTTTAATCCAGGCAAATACAGATCTGCAGTAAATGCCATAGTTTTATGTCAGTAGTCGTCAGCTCTGAAGACTGCAAAGGTGCTTGTGTTTCTGGGAATGTCTAGGTCTCTTAAAATAAGGGATCACTTGAGTGTTCTTTGCTTAAAATTTGGGTGTGTTGGCAGGCAATTCCATATGCTTGCAAGAAGAGGTGGTGGTTGGTATTTTAGCAGCAGCTGAAGAAGCCGTGTGGCTTGGTTGAAGAGAAATGAAATGATACAAAGGAGATCAAACAGTCCTGGAAATCAGTTCTGTGTTGGAAGGCAGGCTCTCCCTGTTTCCCTGCTTTAGGTAACATGAGTAGTCCTTACAACAGAAATGGACCTTTTGAACTGAGGTGATTCCCCCTCAGTTTTTCCTTTGAAGAATTTAGACCTCTAAGATAATGACTGAACTTTGTACTTTTCTACTTACTGCCTTTTTCTAAAATAATGAATTTCCTGCATATCAGCATTCTGAAATTGTAGGAGGAGATCGGCAAAGAGGTTAAAGCTAGTTTCAGACCGTATAAGTCTCTCACTTAAACCATTTGTATGTATGAGAAGTTCTGTGATAACAGATGAATGAATACTGAAATGCGAGTGATGAGGATGTCAGTGAAATGCAAGATGTGCTTTTCTGAAACAGGTGATTGATCAATTGAACTTACACATTTTTAGCTGTGTTATATATTTGGAAATTATGTAGATTCAGAAATAAAAAGCTAATAACTTTATCAGAAATGTAGGTGTTCATTTAAGTGGATTGATTTGATTATAGGGAGTGTTTTCTGGTGCTGAAGTGCTTGTGTGCTTTGACTCTTGCCCAGTCAAGAGGGGGCATCTGTCAGGAGACCAGAGGTGCCTGCCTGTCTGTCGCAGGTGGCCTTGGCAGCACACCTGGAGAAGGGGGTAGGACTTGCCAGGATGAAGGTTGGAGAAGCAGGCTCATAAAATAATCAGTTCAGCTGGTGATACTTCTGGCTGTTCAGGTCAACCAGCACAGAATGCAGCTTGGGCTGCACACATTGCATTAGTGACCAGGGGTGACTTGGTGGCTGAAAATGTGGAGTTTCAGTTTGGGTAAAATGGGTGCCTTCAGAAGTGCTTAAAATTCCCCTCTCCAGTTCCTCAGTTCCTGTAGTTCTTGTGCTGCCATCCATTGTCTCTGTTTGCTTCCTGCATTGTGCTTTTTCCTTGCTCATTTTTTTTCAGACTTCATTGGTGAAAAATTTATGAAGGTGAGTAGTGGTTTGCTGTAAAATGTTAATTTAAAAGGTCATGAGAGCGGATAAACGAATTTGATTCCTTTTACCTAAATTTTCATGTGAATGTTAATGTGTCAGGTAAAGGTCTGTAGGAATATACAAAAATGTTATTTCAAAGGTAATGATATTTGAGTATGTTTTGAGAAAATGCTGAACAAGAATACTTAATCACAAGGAGCAAGGTCTGACAGCTTTCCGTATGAACACCACTGCGCAACTGCTGTAGGACTTCTTTTGCAGCTAAAGCAACCAGTAAAACTCTTAAGCATAGGGTAGCATTTGGTTGCCAGTGATTTATTTATTTCCTTTTAATATTTTCAACTCCTTGGTTGTGAGACTGTTGCACCAGAATACTTTTGGCTGGTTGGTTTTCTTGGGTGTGTTCCCTGCCTGTCACCGGTTTCTACTGGTGCAGTGTCTTACAGCCAGTGATAGTAGTGCCTTCATGCCTTCACCTGGAAACTTCAGTGAAAGTTACAAGCTTCCTACCCTCCTTTATGATTTTATCTTAGGTTAATTCAAGCTAAAACATAATTTCTATATGTATTGAAGATGGACCCAAATACCTTTGTCCCAGGCAAGCTTCTAAATATAAAATCACATTAGTTGCTTGGTGTTGGATTTGTAAATCTGTGAATTTTCCCTTGAAGCTGGGACTAGCTCCAGGAATTTATTCAAGTCTTAAACACTGTTTAAAATTAGACATTAAAAGAAAAAAATTTCACATTTAAAAAAAAAAACAACTTGTTGGCCATTTTAAAGATGTTGGAATGCAGTGAATTCATAACACAGAAGGCAGTACAACAGAGGATGGTTTTGTTCATTAATGCTCTGTTCGTATTAATCTGGTATGTGTCAGCATAAAAGCAACTACTCTAGCTTTGTCTTCCTAATATTAGTTTTTCAGCTTAACCTTTAGTCCTTGAACACTAATAATTTGAAATTGTAAAGTCCTTTAACCTTACTTAGAATTTTTACAGTTAAACAATTAGTTAATAGTAATAATACTTTATAAGTGAAATCCTGCAAGAATATGTATGTGATTATGTATGTGGTAAATTTGGCCTTAAGCAAGGGGAAAAATCCCAAACTAACCAACACTTGAAGAGTTCTTGTTTGTTTGGGGGTTTTTTGGTTGTAACATCTTGGTACAGTGCTGCGGTTAGGCACCTGTAATGATACTGCCTCTAGTTAATTTGGTAGGAGGTATATGTTAAAAGAAAATATACCCAGTTAAGGGTTGAGCTGGCTCCACTCCTTTGTAAGAGAACAGAGGATTTTTTAAAAAAATCGAAACTTAAATTAATCCATTGAATTACTTATCCAAAACACAGGAAGGTCAATAACTTTAAAAAACCTGATGATATTAGCAGTAGAAGTAAAGAAAGAGTTGATGATGAAGTTGATACCTAAAAAGAATAAGTGAAGGCATGTTATTGAATAGTGTTTATACAGGAGTGGTCTGAATCCAGACCAAGTTTTAATTTCTACTAGGTTACGTAATTACATCTACTACACATCTACATAATTACATATTTACTGGAGAATCAGTAATTTGATGGTGGCTGAGTGAGAACAAGTATCTGTCAAAAGAGAGAGTAACTGCTATTATTCTGATCCATGCAATTCAAATGCAAAAAGTGGTGGCTTAAAAAAACCCGAAACAGCAGCATCCACGTTGATTTGAGTCCTTATTGCTCCCGCTTCTTCCTGTTGAGATTAATTTTTTTTAAACCGTGTTAAAACTTTCTGAAACATTGTGATCATCATTCATATTTGATATCAAAACTTACTTTATCTCAATGTGACCTTTTCAATTCCATTTTAGAACGGGATTTAATCTAGTTTTTTATATTATGCTTGTTTAAAATCTAAAATATCTTGCAAAAGGACTTTATCGGCGTTGACTGTATTACAGAATAATTAAAGCACTTTCAAATGACGGAGAGCTGATAGTATGGTAACAGAATGATGTCTTAGAAATATAAAAGTGGTAATAGCTTAAAACACTGTGAACAGCTTAAAACCACTGTGAATAGCTTAAAAAACTGTGAACAAAATACAGTTAGTACTTAAAAGCTTGGAATAATGCTACCCCTTCACCCCACCAAATAGTGCTTCATAGTTTAAACATTGATAACTGGGAAGCCAAAGTCACTTAAGTTTGGTTTGTGTGGGTTTGGGGTATTTGTTTTTAATGTTAGAGGACCCTGGAATTGGCATGTGATTGCCTTGGTTACAACTGACCACTTGCACATCCTGTCCCCTGTAAACAGCCAGCTAACAGTGATCGGGCAAGCCGTGTACTGAATCTCGCTACATTTCCTAATATTGAAGAAAATAGGATCTAGTCCTCATCTTTGTGCAGAATGTTTCAGTACTGGATGAAGAGGTATATTCTTCCCTGTGACTTAATGCTTTGAAATACGTTTAGGAGTGTTATCACTGGTAGCAGTGGTAGTCGAAGTTCTTTGAAGTGGTCTATATGTGTTTGCAAAAAAGTAATTTACATATTGCAGATACTTTGTGTTCTACCCTTCAAATCATATTCTTGATGATACGGCTTTTTAACAAAATGTTTCCTTGAAACGTTTTCCAAAGTGTTTAATATGCTAAATAAATTTAAATCAGTTCTCCATGCTAAAATTTGCAGTGTGTTGTTCACTTAAGCATTTGAACTTCGTGGTTGAATTGTCTGTTTGTTTTTTCCTTTCTCCTTGGTATATCCTTTTGACTTGACACAGTAAAAGTTATTTTAAGTTTGAACAATACATCAAGCATAGCTTGCTATTAATACTGCTGAAGGACATTTTGCAGTTCTTCTTCCCAATCCCAGGGATATTAGGTTTTCTGAAATACTAGCTTGCTGAAAAATTGCCAATTTATTACCATTTGATACTAAAATCTGAGAAACCCAGTGATGGTGAACAAAAGTGATGATCCTTATAGTTAACAACTCAAGGATGAACCTATTTGGAGGTTACTGATAAGGACTGTTGTGGTTACCTCTATCTAAAAATGCTAAAAATCTTGCTAAGCACCTCTGAGCTCCTCTTCAGTAAATAGCAACTAATGAGAGATCTAAATGTCATCATTAAGACAGGCTACATTAATTGTAACTTTTTCTCCCCCCATTGTAGTGGTCGTTTGTTGTGGCTACAATCACAGAAATTCCACCAGTTGCCTTTCTTCCCAATTTCGTTGTTCAGAGAAAAGTTTTGAAACCGCTCCGAACCCAGACAGGAGGAACAATAATGGTAAGGTGCTCTTGGTTCACTTTCATTGTATTTAAGCTTGTTGATCAGAACGCTATAAACCTGTGAGTTGTAATGTTTTGTATAACTCAAAGGCTTGAGCCTTGGAGGCTTGCAGAGGGAAGTGAGTTAGTGTACAGCCCTGAACAGGAGCAAGGTTTGCTGCTTGTTAGCAGTTAGCAAGGTGAAGGACATACCTGATTTTATGGTCTGTAATTTGCAGAAGAGACAGTGATGGGCAGTCTGGGCAAGCAACGATGGATATAGCAGGACTTATGGCAAATGCAGAAACTGAATTGGTTTTGAACAGCATTCAAGTACAGGCAAATTCTAGGAATGGGAGGTTTCAAAGTTGATAATATAGAAGCTGTTTTTAAACACATGTTTACCAAATGGCCTTGGTGCTGTATGGGAAGAGATGTGTGGTTTGGTTGCTCTTGAGCCTAAGTGTTTAAATGTAAAAATTGTATCACGTTGCTGATTTTAATAATGTACTTTTTCTGTTATAAATACTACATGAGCAGCTCAGCTGAACTCAGGTGAGACATAGCCCATTTCAGTTTAACAGAATTGTTTTCTCATTAGTTAAATGAGTACTCTGGTAAGAAGAGCCGTGAAAGTGTTGCCAGACACTTTATTTTGCCTGAGAACTGCCATTAGAGGTGTTGAGGAAGTAAGAGGAAAAAAAAAACCCAACATTTAATAGCTGGAACCAAGAATGAGTTGTTGATACCATGTATTGAGGAAAAGATGCCTTCATAATTGTAAACAGGTAACTAATGAACCTTTTCTGCCCTTTTTTCTCATTCCTTGTCAGAGCTAGAGCTCAGAAACCATACAGCGTGGTGCTGGGAGATGGGAACAGTCCCAAGCTCTCTTTGCAGGCACTGAGCTGTAACAGTTACATAAATGGAAGACAAATAGTCCTATCTGAAATAATGAATCTTACGGTACAAATGGATCTTTGCTGCATTTTAGCTGCTCTTTCTGAAGGTAGCTGTTACAGTGGGTGCACGTGCAAAGGACAGAAGCTCATACTGCTTTTTCTCAATCTATTTGAAGCCAGTTATTGTGGGCTGGCAAACCTTTCAGAGTATGTCTGTGCCAGATATGAGAATACGATTTATTGCAACTACTAGATATTAAAGGTGAGCGAGACTGGGAAGCTATAAATGAATGATAAAGTAATGGCATTATTTTCAGAGAGAGGTTAATGGATAGCTTCCTGTTTCTGTCAACAGAAATGTAGGTACTTAGTACTCTGCACTGGAATCGAGTGCATTCTTATTCTTAAATGCTTTGTGAATTTGTCAAGAATTCATTAAAGATATAAATAATATAAAGAGCTCTTCTGTGACTAGTGCATAAAAGGCAGTGCAGTAGGGTTTTCAGAAACAATGAAAAAGGTGGAATCTGTGTTTGTGTCTGACCTACGAGAATTTTGCGAGTTAGCCCAGAAGCTTGGTGAAGCAGTTCTCTGTTTTTGTCTTTAATTTGGTGGGGCTGATGTGAGATGAACTGTTGTTGCTGTTGTGTGTGTGTAAGTGGATCTGGGCAGTAGTAGGTTTCAGGCCTCTTGGGTGTTCTACTGCATGAAATGAAAGTAGAGAGCCAGTTGTTATCAGATTTTTAAGGCAATATCCCGCTCTTCTGTTGTATTTACTTTTTTAATGGTAGAACTACTCAATGCCCAGTTCTTTATCAGGGAAAAAATTGTGATTTCTTCCAGTATTTTTATTCTCTGTTGTTAAATCTGTGTCCCATCCAGCTGCTGGATTTGCAAGTGTGTATGTAAAATTAACTCTATGCCAGTTGTTGGCTTTTGTTACCAAAAGGTAGAGAAAGGAATAGAACGGACTGGACAGCTTGTGTCTGGGCTTAAATATCTACTTTTAAGATTCAGATACATAATCTAACAGTGTGATTTAATTGTTTTAAGCATGTCATCTTAACTTCCTTTGTAATATCCAGAACACTGGTCACAGATATTAAAAAAACTGGAGCTCTTCAGGAAGTTTATCATCATGTTTGAGCTGTGCTGCAAACGAGTGCATTTTGGTTTTTATAATGGGAAATGTGTTTGTGTAGTGTAGCTCTTCATGACACTGAAGTGTGCAGAGCCGTTGAAAGACGTATCCATGTGCATATGCATGTGCTCAGAAAAACCTTGTGACTGGAGGAAAAGGGGCGAGTTCCAATCATAGCAGAGAAGTGGCAAAGGAAGATTTGCAGTAAGGTTTTGAACATGGCCATAGAGGGGAAGATCAAAAAGTCACCTCCTTGATGCTGAAATTGTGTGTGTGAAGTGAGTTACCTGCTGCTTACGGCTCTCTGCTGTGAAATAAAAAGAACTGGTGGTTTGTTCATAAATCATTAGGACAGTGGTGAGTCCTGTGACATCCACCATGTTTAAGTATCCTTGCAGGTTGTCAAGTCTGGTTTTAATTCAGGTTTATGAGGAGGAAGTGATTTTCTTTTACAAAATAAAAGTGATATGTGTCTTGCCCACCTTGGACTCTGTTTCTCCAGCTGTTATTGTTCTCATTTCTTACATCCCATTTCTACTTGAATGATCTTGTGTTGCTCTGTCTTCTTGGATGTACGTGTTACTTAAAGAATAGTGTGGTAAGGAAATACACGCAAGTGTTTATACAGTATAGTGTTATCTGAAGCTTTTGTTGAAGCCTAGAAGTCTGCATAAGCATCAGATAAACCAGATAAACTACTGAAAATGTTAAACCAACCATTAAGGACAACTTAATTATATGAGTTTAGAAAGAACATGCTGGGTTCTGGATAGATCTTTAGGCTTACTGGATTATGGTAGCAGGCTAGATAACAAAAAGTCCCTCCTTTAGTAGGTGGTAACTGGCAAAAGCAGGGATGACAGAAGTGGAACTGAGTGCATCTCTCTAACCCAAACCTGCATAAACCACCTGGAACATCTCCTGGCAGTTTACCTGCAGGAGATGGAGACAGCACCAACTGGTTTTGCTGCAGTCTGTGTAAGTCATCTTGCTTTCCATGGACTGCTGGCAAGTTTGGGATGAGTTTGTTTTGGTTTTGTTTTTTTTTTTTAAACCTGATGTTATAGAATGGGTAGTAGGAGAGAGAGAGAATTTTGGTTTCATGTGGTTCATGTAGTTCAAGGTTCTTTATTTTTTGTCACTCGCAGCCAAAACAGTAGCTCCATTCGGTCTCTATTTTGTCCTCGGCATCGCTTCAGACCCTGGTCCTCTTCTGTGCAGTATTTCTGACTGCAGTCAGTGTCGTGGCAGTACACGTGTCTGAAATCTATTTCAACTTGGTTCTAACCAGACAATACTTTTCTATGGTTTCGTGATGCTTTTCACTGTGCTTGTGTTTAATTCATGAATGTGTGTTCACTAGTTTATAAATGTGGTCATGTAGAAGTGAGAGCCACTAGTTGTCTCTAAGGCCTCTGTATTATGCCTCCTGAAATACGGGTGACATCGCTTCTGGATTGATCTTGATGCCATATGCTGCTGTTTTTACCTTTTCATTTTTCATTATGGGCAAATAGGTGTGTGCTTTAAAAGCAGTTTTGATTCGTCAGACAATAAAATGTGTACATTAGAAGTCAGAAGTACTATGGTCCTGTTTATCATGCAAATTCCTGTTGAGTTTCTGTACTTTTAAATGATTTTTTTGCAATATGGGAAGATGTTTTTTTGCTGAGGAATCCCTAGGAAGTAAGCTAAATCACAGATAATGTGCTTCCCCAGTGACTTAATGGGTTTTATAGTTCAGAAACCACAATCTTCTCTCAAGATCTAATTTGTGTAAGTTAGCACATTCATAACAGGATGATGTTTACCTTCCCAGTAGTTTTCTTAATACTGAATTAGAACATTTCAAATATAATTATTGGTGGTGAAGAATTATCAACTGTCCAAACTTCCTTTCATATATTATGTGTAATGTGTTCTTTTTGAGATTATAGAAATGAATAATGTTTCTACCTTTTTTCTCTTATTTTTTAAATTATAGCTAGTAATATATTTTTTAATGTCAGTCAATGAATACTGCAGTTAAATATATGCTTGACTCTTCCTAGCCAAAATAAGTCTGGTTTTTCAATGAAAATATAATACTTTAAGCCACGTGTATCTCTTCACTGTCAGTACTTTCACTTCCCTGAATGTAATTTGAGTTCAAAGGAGAGGGAGCACAATTTTCTGTACTGAAGGGAAAAAGATTGGTAATATCCTGTACTATACATGTTACATAACTTAAAACAAATAAGTTGTCACAGGACACTTCATACTGTAGCATTTTTCTGTCCCCGCTCCAAGCTTGAGATATGTTAATCAGTGTTTTCAGGATTTTGAGCTTACCTTCCTCCTGTTCCTGCCTGAACAAGAAGGTTATTAGGGGATTCTTGCTCATTTTTTGCTCTTACCAACACTCGTACTTTCCTTTTTGCATTTGCCTGCTAGGGGTCGGTGTTTATCTCTGCAAAGCACAGTGCCAGGCAATGCAATACAGATGAGATATCAGATATCTTTTCAACTAATCATACAATAGTTTTGTATAGTTGGTATCAGATTTGGAATGACCTCCAGTGGTAAAACATCTGAAAATTCAGGTTGCATGGGGGGTGGAAGCAGAGTGGTAAATGGTTGCATCCTTCTCTCCTGAAGTTCTCACTGTAATTTTCTTAAGGCAGGAAAACTGGCAGTTGATAGAGGCTGGGCGATCAATGTGGGTAAGTACAAATGTGGTGCACTAAATGACACTTGTAACAGTGTGTTTAAAATCGTCCTATTTTCATTTAGCGTGATGTGGATTCTCTTTATTATAACACAGTGTGACTGGATTGGGTTTAACTAAAATCAACTCAAAAGAAAAAAAAATGGAAAAAGTCCTGGTTTTTTGTCATCCACTATTGCCTCTATTGCAATTTTATAATTGAAATATTTTTTCTAAAGAAAAAAAGATAATTGGATAAATATATGATATATACAAGGAAAAGTGTTTGGATTGAAGTAGTGTAAAAAAATTAAGGAAAAATGGTGTAAATGTAAATATTTCAATAATTTTTTAGTTTTCATTAAATTGTAAAATGTTCATAGATCCTCATCATCTGCTGATTTATGTTAGACCAGATCAGAGGATTGGTTGATATGCTGGAGAGCGTGGCTGTGCCAGTTAGTGGCTGGTTTTGGCTGTGGTTTTTCCTGAAGAAGACTGGAATGAATGAACAATGAAGAACATAGTCAATGTAAATCTGCTCTCCTGCTCAGAGCAAATAGCGATGCAAAACCAGTAGACTATTAAAGCAATATTTTGTGTCATGTAAGACCTCGCTTGCCATTTTCATACAGCTCTTCAATTCTGGGGTTTTTTCCATTATTTCTTTCACACATCTACAAAGTGAACATCCAGTGTTAAAAACTAGAGATAATAAAAACAAACTCAGAAGCCTGTCATATTTACTGATACAGAAGGTGAGCTTGGGGAGTTTCTTGCTGAGGTACTTGTAGCAGGTTTCTCAGTAAGAAGTTTGTTTTAAAGAGGAGTTTTTAAAGCTTCTTCTGGGCTGAGTGTTTGCAAAAGACAATGGTATGTGAAAATAATGGTAACACCATAGTTTTTAGCTTGTTGAGATTTTTTTGAGTGGATGTTCAGCATAGGAAAGACCTTTCCACAACTGTTAATTATGCAGCTGCAGCATGCCCAAGGGAGCTGAGCTTTCAGAGCTATGCGCTTGGTCACGGAGGCCTCACGTGTTCCCTGTGGACATTTCTCAGTTCTTAGGGTGGTTGCTGGATGGAAGGGACAGTTCCTCTTAATCTGAGCACCTGCAGATCCTTTGCCTGCTGTTCTGGTAGGCCCCGCATAAGGTATGGACAGAAACTGTGTGAGGTGTTTTGTGTTGATAGGTAAAGGTTTAACAGCTCTGGGCACAGTATTTCCTAAAGAAAACAAGTGCCTGATGTGTAAGTGATCTCTGTCTCTTTGCAAAGACACTGATGTTCCTTAGTATCTAACCTTTCACCTCTTCAATACTTTTCTGCTTAGGGGGTGGTTTTCATCACTGTTCAAGTGACAAAGGTGGAGGATTTTGTGCATACGCTGATATCACGTTGGCTATAAAGGTAAGAAGTACTCTTAAAACAGTATTTTATACTGTCTGTGCAAACGAAAAAAAAATCCACAAAATTTGTAAGAACTGATTTACCTCTCAGTAGGAGAAACAAAAGCCATCTATGGACGGGTAGGAAAGTGGTGTGGTATTGATGCTGCAGAACATAATGCATACACTGTATTGTGACATGGAAGGGAAGAGTTGCAGGGGTCAGAGTTATGAATGTAAATATGAACCTCTACAATTGCATCAATAATGTCTTCTTGCAAAAAAACCCACTCAAAATCAAACCAGATTAAAAAAAAAAATCCATGTCCTCAATGATAATTATCTTAGCCTTGCAGCTGAACCTGAAAATTCGACATTAGTTTCAGTGGTTACAATCAAGACAAATGCAGACAGAAATCCTCTCTCTGAATCAAGCTGCACTATACAGGGCTCAGAGTGGTTAAAATTCATGAATAAAAATGTGAATGTCTCCAGAATAATCACTGAATGTGAATGAATACATTTGGTATTTAGCTGTTGAAAGGCTGAAGCAAGAGCCTTCTGCAATTAGGGCTAATTTATATCAAATGTGCTATGGTGTATTTGTATATTGAAATATTTTATAAAAGTATCAGCAATAATCAAACATTAAAAAGCTCTAATGATTGCAGCACACTACATGGCAACATCGTAATTTCTGTTGGTAATTTGCAGAAAAATAATCCAGAGTGTTCTGTTTTCCCTTTCATTAAAATACAGATTAAGAAATTATAGCAGGTGACAGTTCATACATTATTTTTTACCATGTTTGTATTAAAGACAGTAGCTTGTCGAACTTAAGACTTTGAAGAAAAAGTAATTTTTAATTCTCTCAGACATGGAATAAGAAGCAGGGGACTGTTTCTCCCTTCCTGCTGCTGAGCCTCACTCATGCTGTTGTTTGTGTTTCATGGAGTGAGCTCCTCGATGTTTTGGGGCCTGTGCAGTGCTTGCTTCACCCTGTCCCAACCCACAGGTCTTGCTGTTGCTTTTTCCATGCTGTGGCTGGTGCCACTCCAGCCTTCCACAGCAGCAGTGCCACCGTCAGCTGTACGGTCCCTGTGCACTGGACCTGTGCTTTTCTGGCTGGCTGATGCAGGATGCAGAGATGGACCAGCTCCACCTGTGCAGAGCCAGCATTGCTACAGCAGGGTTTGTTACCCAGGGCTCCACTGTGTTGTGCAGTGCCACTGGGTTTAGGTGTGTGGGATGCTGCAGAAAGGCACATCCTTCATCCTGTGTTGTCCAGTTCTTTGTGGGAGAAAGAGGAGATAAGTAGAAATCTTTCTTTCCTCTCTCCACCACCTTTCTGTACAGGTAGGTAGATACCTGCACAGATGACTGTGAAATGCATGTTTCCTGCATTTCATCTGGTAGAAATGTATAGGGTTTTTTAATTGTAGAACCACAAAAATTATCTTTTTTATGTGAAATAACTAGAGCTTTTGTAATTAAATATATTGGAATTATTTAGCTGTTTATTTGGTGAACAAAATGAATAGACAAACACTACATTCAAATTGAAACAGTAATATACTGAGCAAGCTTCAAGCCTCCTGTTTATTCTGTCACTTAACTTCATCACTTCCTCTGTCTTTCTCTTTGCTTATATATCCAGTTCTTATTTGAAAGAGTACAAGGGGTGTCCAAAGCCACAATTATTGATCTGGATGCTCATCAGGTGAGTAGTTTACCTCTATTCGGTGCTGCAGATGTTTTGCTTGAAATACAAGTGTGTGATAAATACTGTTTTTTCTAATAGTAGTATAAACCATCAGCTCACAAAGTTGAAATAGGTGATGAAGCATGGTCAGAGAAGAGCCACAAGGATGGTGAGGGCTCTGGAGAACAAGCCTTATGAGGAGCAGCTGAGGGAACTGGGGTTGTTTAGCCTGGAGAAGAGAAGGCTGAGGGGAGACCTCATCACCACCTACAACTGCCTCAAGGGAGGTTGTGGAGAGGTGGGTGCTGGTCTCTTCTCCCAGGTGATGGGGGATAGAACAAGGGGAAATGGCACCAAGCTGTGCCAAGGGAGGTTCAGGTTAGAGCTAAGGAGGAAGTTCTTTACTGAGAGGGTCGTCAGAAGCTGGAACAGGCTGCCCAGGGAGGTGGTGGAGTCACCATCCCTGGATGTGTTTAAAGAGCGGGTAGATGAGGTACTTAGGGATGTGGTTTAGGGGGTAGACAGGAACGGTTGGACATGATGATCTCGGAGGTCTGTTCCAACCGAGCGATTCTGTGATTCTGTGAAAACTGAGCAGTTTACTTATTTTGTGGTCCGAAAGACTGCAAATCCAGTTTAATAAAATTAAACTGAGTTGTAGCTCCATCATGTGGCTAGATGTAAAAATATTTGAGTTGCATGCTGTTCTGAGGAATAACAGTCTCCAGAGTAGATCAGTATCCCAGAAGAAACAATCTCTTTTAAGAGGATTAGAGTTCATTGCAGCAGCCGTTGCAGGGGATGAATTTGACCTTCAGTGTTTTAATGGAAAACCTGGCTTCAGGCTGATGAAGTAAAGAGTCAAGTAAATCACTCCTCACCTGGGAAAGTGATTTACTGTGGGTACTGAGAACAAATCTTGTCTTTGGTAGGATTTCCACAATAAATCCTGTAAAGAGGGAAATGGCACTCTTAGAAAAGCAGTTAATGCACCAAAATTATGTCCAGTCTAAAGCATTGGAGGTTACTTATTATGTGTAAATAAACCATTTTTAAGTAGCTCTGTGGCAGTGAGGAAGCCTAATGGCTGCAAGTTTTCCATCTTCTATAGTTTCTCTTATGTGGAAGTTAAGGTTTCCTGAAATTACCATGAAAAAAGGACTTAGATTATGCAATAGAAAGGTGGTTTGTGTTCATGATTCTCTTCAGTTATCTCTGTCAAGGTGTGGATTTTTTGTGTGGTTTTTTTTAGGTGTGTTTTGTTGTTTGTTTTTTTTTTAAAAACCTCTTGAAGTGTTACCTTGATTTTCAGGTGCCATGCTGCTAATCAGTCTGCACCCTAAGGCACCCCTGTGTTTCCTTTCTTTGGAGAATGAGAGGTGTGTGTAGTAGCAGCTCAGCAGATCCTTCTCATGTGTGCAGATATTCTCATCTTGTGAGTGTCCCAGTTCTTGGGGCATTGGAGAGTTTCACCTTTCGTAAGAAAATGGTTCACCCTGAGACTTTCATATTCTTGGATTTCTGTTCTTGAGCTGTTTATTTGTAGACCAAAGACACTGAAAAAATAAGTAGGAGTTGCCATTTTTAGCATAAAGAAACACAACTCTGGTGCTTCCCATTCCATTTTTCACACACATTGACCAGCTTTAGCCCAGTGATTATTTCTTTTTTGTTGTTGTTTGTTTCCAGGAGGGCAAATTGTAGCATAAATATAGCATAACTGTCCAGGGACATAAACTCTGTAACTAAATTACAGAAGATATATCTGTGGAAATGTCTGTTTCTGTAGTTTAAATGAAATTCTACTTGGGAGTAGGTGTCCTGTATAATTCACTGATTTCAACAAAATTGTCCTAGTGATTGCTGTGAAAAGATGGGTTTTATACTGGTGAAAAGAAGAATACTGTTTGAATTTAGAAATGGGAGATGGGGAAATACTCAGTGTCTGATATTTCTCTTGAGCATCCTACCCAATGCAGTGTTTCTGTAAGGAATTCCTGGTGTTAAACAGTATGCTAAACCGTTGGGTCTTTAGTGTTTCTAATTTTTCCAGGGATTGCTTCTCTCACCAAGGCTTGAATTACCAGAAGAGCTGTAGTCTGCGTTATTTATTTATTAATCCTTATATAAGAATACAAGTACTCCTGCAGCACTTGAAAGGGACATTTTTTTTTTTTGCACAACTGGAAGATGAGACATCTATGTGATGGTCACAGTTGCTTTTGTGGTGCTGCTGAAGACAATTAGCTTCTAAATTTTGTTTCTTTTTCTTATGTGCAATGAGATCTGTGATAACTACCTTCACAGAGATGTTGATTTTGATAATACCTGCAGTCTTCAGACTGATACTGTCAAAGCCTCCAGAGCCCTGCACCTCAGAATAAGTTTCAAGACTATAAATAAGGGAATGACACAAAAGTTTAAATATTAGATCTTTGTAGTCTTAATTACTGTAGAATTTGCAGATTCTTTAATGCTGTGTTAGCATGCTAGGAATAGCTAACTGTAAATTTCCTGCAGGGAAATGGCCATGAGAGGGACTTCATGGATGATCATCGGGTGTATATTATGGATGTGTACAACAGATACATTTATCCAGGGGATGGATTTGCGAAACGTAAGTGAAATTGAAATTCTTATTCCAAAATGTGAAAGACCTTTTGTGTTGTTAAATAACTTCTTCACTTACTAATAAGCTTCCTTGAAATTATGTTAACTAGTTTTTTTGTTTTAAATTTCATATTGAACACATTATTTTCATTGATTACTGTGGTACATCACAATAGTATTAACGCTGTTTTTCGCTCACTTTTGGAATGAATTTCTGGAATGCAAGGTGTGGGTATTAGGTGGGCTTTGTTAGCAGTCCATTTGAAGGTAACTGTTTGAATTTCATCTTTGCCTTACACTAAATTTATTAAAAGAATTCACTAAGGATTAACTAATACTATGTATGTAAGAAGGCTTCGTGTTCTTTTGAAAGTTATAAAGTATAACATATTCAGGTGTTGTCTTTGCAGGAGAACTTGTTTTATAAATATTTAGAAAGCAAGATGCATCTGAATGTGAAACAAGTTGGGAAGCAAAAGGAAGTCATACAATTGTTAAGAGCTGCTGCTTGGTGTTTATCCCTGCTATGATGTGTCTGTTGCGTCTGGTGACCTGCCACAATTAATTAGTGCCATTTTCATAGTGGTTAAATTGGAATGCAAAAGCCCAAAGTTTATTTGATTTTTTTTTTTTTGTAATTTATTACAGGCTTAATTAGTTAATTGAATCATACTTTATTGGGGGAGATGTTCTTATGCTCTTGAATTTCGTCAATGATGCTGTCATTCTGAAAAGCCTACTTAATTTGGATTCTTGGCAAGAATTAGATGCAGTGTATTGTACTTCTGTTTTTTAACTAGTACAGATTTTGAAAATTGTAGCGTGTGTATTTCAAGGTATTAATCTGAAAAATGACCATGTGAAGGATATTGTGTCTGTAAGCAGACAAATTGCAAGCAATGGAGACTTTTTTTCCCCCTAAGAAAAGCATCCCTTTGTTCGTATATAAAGTGGTAACATTTTGAATAGATGGATTAAAACTAAAACAGAGGAAGCCCTTGTTAGCAAATCTGAAATACTGAGCTCACCCCTCTCCTGTGAAGCCTGGATTACTGGTGTTCTCTGCCTGCAGGAGGCGGAGAAGGCTGCAGCCAAAGGCATGTGAATATGTAGTTCCTTGTAGTTTGCATAAGGCATAAATAGGAGTTCAGTGGCTAAACCCTTTAAACTCTCTCTTGCTAGCTGACCAGATGAAGATAAGATTAGAGAGGGCATCTTTTTGAAGGGAGGTAGAAGCTTGAACCTGGGACTTTGAATCCTTAGGGTAAACTCTGATTGCTGTCTCCCTGGACTTCCTACTCATTTTCTCCATGCTTTTACAGGTGTATCTTCTGTACATTTTTTTAGCTCATGCACTTCATTTGGGGGGTGTGGGAAAGAAAAAGACTAGCTGACATTGCCTGATGCTTAACTATAAGCATATTGAGTCCCAAAGGGGGAGTAGTCTGGACTTACACAGAAGTTTAGGAAGAGAAAGGAGAAGGTGGGTGGGGGCAAAAGGACTGGTTCACTGAAGGGTGAGCATGAAAAGCTGACAGCTGAAACTCAGAGTTCGGGCCTTAAAACACTGTTGGTCTGTCAGCTTACAGTTTTCAGAGCTGTAGAAATACATTCACTGATTTGCAAAAGATGAACAAAAGTCTGTCAAATGCAAAAGCTGTGTTCATTCCAACCTACAGATCCATCGCTGTGTCCATCAGTAGTCCCTGAGCTGGGTGTTAACTGATCACTGTAGTTCTGTGTTTTGTGGTGAAGATGAAAACAAGAGACCTGCAGAGGCATGGAATCTTACTCACAATTGTCTCAACTTCTTCTCAACAATACTTATTTGTTCCCAATGCTAATGTGTTTACCTCCTCCTCTGAAGCTCGCTCCAGCTCCGGATTCTTTGCCCTGATGAGGCTCCAAGTGCTGTTCAGAAGAGCACAGCTGTGCAGACTTACATGAACATTTATATAACCGTAAGAAAAGCATTCAGGAAAAATCATAAAGAAACAAATCTTTGAAACTAATGTCGAAGGAATGAAATAAAGAAAAAGAATACTTCTCTAATGCTGAACAAGGGTGGAAAGCAAAAAAAACCCAAACCTACTCAGCAATCACCAGGAAAAATATCACTGTGTATTGAATGCCTTTGTGCACACTTGGTGGGTGCTGAATCCACACTTAAGATTTAAGACTCCATATCATTTAATTCAAGGCATAGAGTATGGTGAGGTGCAGGCAATACCTTGAAACACCTCTGGCATAGGTTTGATTAAGTCAGATTTAGAGTTACATGTAACTCCATAAAAGCACCCAAAGCTAGGATGCATGACCTTCAGTTTCTTTCCTCTACCTTCTCGACCCTCCTCTTCCACTTCTAATGCATTATTAGAAGCATTAGAAATAATTTGATTTAAATTAAGAATAGATACTTGCTCTTCTGGTAGGATTACAGGGTAAGAACATTAAATTGGAAATGCTCGGGGCAAAGCTGAATCTTTTTATACATTCATAAAGCAGTTCACATAAATTCACGATCCCTTGCTGTTAAGTATTGAGTGTTGTGATAAAAAGAAAACATTTTAATAATTTCTCAGTGATATTTATCATGTGTTTTCCCCCAACTCTTTCCTCTTCAATAGCAATTCAGTATTTTCTTTCCCTTATGCTTTATTTAGGTTACTTCCAATTTAACAATTTTCTTTGATTTCTTTGCTGATTGCTGATTAAATGGACATGTAGATCAGCTGCTTTTCAATAACATTTTCCACTTTTTTTTCCCCCTGCATCTAATTTTCTCTCCTCAGTGGAATTTTTTCAAAGTCATTTGCTGGGAAAACAAGTAGTTGAATAATTTTCTTTAATTCAAGGTTCTGTGAAAAAGCAATGTATTTACAAAACTTCCAGAAATATCATCTTTTTTTTTCCTTTTTCAAGTTTACCTAAATCTTGCATTTTCTTTCAAAGCAATGCTTTGTTTATTGAGTAACATCAACATTTTTTTTTAGGTGCCATAAAACGCAAGGTGGAATTAGAGTGGGGTACAGAGGACACAGAATACCTTCAGAAGGTACATACTCACGTGGAAGGAGCATTAAATGAATTAAAACCTGACATCATTGTTTATAATGCCGGGACGGATATTCTGGATGGTGATCCATTGGGAGGACTTGCTATTTCGCCTCAGGTTTGTATGATACTAAAATCCTACAGACTTTCACTCCCCACTAGATACTGAATGCAGTCCCAAGAGGGACCTGTGGCTGGTTGTTAGGTGAAGGTAAGGCACATACTTTAAACCAGAGTGTTTTCCTGTTACAGACAGGTATAGTTACATCTCCGTTGCTCTTTCACCATACGTTTTTGGTGGTCTCTTCCTGACTGGATATTTTTGTTCTTCAAGTGCTTGTTCCAGTATCATTTGTCATCTTTGAAAATATACTGATTCTGATCATTGAGGCAGTAACCAGAGAGGCATGTATTTTCACACTTCATCTGACTCCTATTTATCCTGTTTGAGTCTGTTTGTCTTGGTTTCTTTTACCCTCACATAACCCATTTTGCGATGTATTTCTTTTGTCACCTGCCCCCAGTGTAGGTATCTTACACTTAATTTCCTCTGTAGCACTCCCAGCTGTTTTAAACTGCTCTTCTGGTATCTTCCAGTCCTAGCAATTCTGTGCAGCCTGTCTGTGTACTCTTAGCAAAAGAACAGGTATTTTCCCTTTCCTCATTCTTTTCTGTACAAATATCATTGCCCTTTTTCAGTTCAGCTCACCTTCTCTCTCCCTGGTTTTGTACCAAATTTAAATTTTGATTTATTCTGTGTAGCTTCAAAGAAGTCTTCACCTTCCAGTTATAACAAGTCTGCTTTTCTCAAAATAAACAAAAGCTTACAGATCTCATATTTCCTCCTTTTTTAATGATTTATTCTCTGACAGCTCCTCAGTTCTGTGTCTCTCCTGTGTTTTCACATTTGGTTCTCTTTGTGTCCCCCAGTTCAGTACAGAAAACTGCTTTCTTGAATTGTGAGCCCTCGGGTTCCCTTCCAATTGAGCCATTGCTTGATCTGTTCAGTTTTCATTTGGTTTGCAGTACTTTAGTTCTCAAATGCTTCCTTTTGCACAGAGCTCTAGTTCCTTGCTGGGTTTTTTTGACTCCCTTATGTATTTCCTCATTCTTATAGTCTCTGTCACTGAGCAGCTGCCTCATTGCTTTCTAATTGTCCCCAAAGTCCTTGATGGACCCAAGGTGGAGCAACTTGGGAGTCACTCTGAATGTCAAGGTTTTGTTTCCATGGCTGTGTAAAAGTCTCGAAGGAGAAAGGGAGACCTGAGGGGCTTGGACTTGTTTGGTTTTGACCTTAGGGAGGATATGACCTGAAGTGTAAGATCTCATTTGGTGGAGCAGAGCTTTTTGGAAAGCAGTGGCCACCAGGAGAAAAGGAACCTAGTGATAGACAGAATACTTTAAGACGTGCCTTTTCAGATTTTATTTTCTTTTTGCCATTTGATAAGGAACAGTTTTATTTGCCAAGAAAAAAGAGTTGCTGTAGCTTGTTGGGTGCTGTGTATGCAAGGAGGCAAAATGTAGGGATGGGGAAAGAAGGGTGAAAGGATTGTCCTGGTCACAAGTAGAGATGAAAGAGTACCACTTCTCTGCACAACCAGTGGCTCAGATGCTTGATGGAGAAAAGGTTTCAAGCCTTTATTTTCCAAATGGAGGACAGGGTTTCTTGTACCTCTGATCTTGTTGGCTTAGGTGGAAATAGCATGTTGCACCAAGCTTGAAATCCCAGGCTACTAGAAATGCCAAAAGTGAAGGCATTGAACCTGGATAATTAATTTCTTCAAGGTTCATTAGTCCAGTCTTCAGTCCTGCAGTTGCAAATGTCATTCATATTTTAAAATCTTACTGTAGTGTTAATTCTACTTAAAAAGAATGCCTCCTAATAGTGCTATCAGTGATGGTTTCTTGGTGCTTGAGGCTATAGCCAGAAAACTTGAGGCATAGCAGGTAAGTCCCTCTTACCTTTGCAAGTGGGAACCATATCCCATCATTTGATGGATTTTCTTTCTTGGTAACACGCAAATGCTGGCATAAGCCCACGTGTTTTCCCCTCAGTTCTTCCAGGTTCAGGCACTGGAGATGCTGAGCAGGGACGAGGCTGTTAGGCTCCTATGGACAGTGAGTGCTTCCAGCTCTGTGGTACTGTGTTTGCTGCAGCCAGCGACGGTTCCCGAGGGACACACTGCTCATTCTCTAATTCTGTTACTTCCTTTAAGGATCTGTTCCTAATATAATTATTCCGTTTCCTTTGTCTTATTTTTCAGTTATTATTCCTTACTCCTATTGTTCTTTTACAGGGCTGTGTCAAACTGTACAAAACCCGCTACTGTTGTATGGTTTTACAAAATATTTTTGCAGCTACATTTGAATTTTGTTCTTTCCCTTTACCATTTGTTTGTGGTCTAATTTCTTTTCATGGCAGGGAAATATCTCTTGAAGTATTTACAGTCTTCCTCTAACCAGTCCGAGTAGTGCATATTCATTTTGTAACACTCTTGCTGTTGCTTCCTTAACTTTTTATATTTGATTGCATTTTAATCCCTTTCTCCTTCTCCAGCTTTTGCAGTTATTTAAATTTTGAGCTGTCCTTTGTAAGCCATTGCCTATTATGTTAGTCTTTTTTTTTTTCTTGAGGAGTTGTAATGGATTATTTATGTACCCTATGTATCCCTGGAACTCTCTGCTTTTCCTTTTCCCACAGAAGTAGATTTAAAGTCTGTTCTCACTTATTTCTGAATTCTTTCTTTTCCCCAGATGTCTTATTTGAAGCCCAAGAGACTCCAAGTCTTCTGTTGTATGGGTTCAATGACTGCAATTCCTCTTGGTCAGCAGTCTTTGTTATTTTATTTAGTTCCGTACACTTCTCATTAGTAAAAAGTTATTTAGAATTTATTTTTCTTTCTGTGGATTTACCATTACGTACATTCTGCAACTCTCCCTTCAGCCATAGATGTTTTTTTTATATTAACCTTTAATGAAGAAACAGGAAGCTTATAATTCAGCTAGTGATAGTGAAAGTGTAAAATCTGATTTGAATTGTCGGCTCTCTTGTAGGTTTGTGGAGCCTTGATCAAATTGATGAACTTTTGTCAGAGGATGCTATGCAAGCTGAGCACAAACTGAAAGCACTTTGAATTCAGACAGTCTCAACGCCTCACCTCTAAAATAGGGTGAACATTTCTAATAGTCGGTTTAGACTTTATGGCCTTTGAGCAGGAATTCTAGGAATTTATACTAAAGACTAAATCTGTTATGTCATCTAAAACCAAATCAAGGATTTTTGATTTGCTGTTTTTACGTTTTTTTAATGATTCTGCGTGTATTCCGGCTAAGGGGACTTGTAAATTAATTTTATTCGTAGTGTAAAATGTAGAGCTTAATCACTTACCAACCATTCAGTACTACAAATCCATAAACAATAGGCTAGAACTAAAATACCATAGTCATATCTTTTTCTGGTATTGTAACTGCTGTAAACTTGCAGGGAATTGTGAAGAGAGATGAAGTTGTGTTCAAGGCTGCCAGACGCCGCAGAATCCCGATCCTGATGGTGACGTCGGGAGGCTACCAGAAGAGGACAGCGCGGATTATTGCCGATTCCATCCTCAATTTGCACAACCTGGGGCTTATTGACAAGGAGCTAGCAGCCAGTGGAGCTGGAAATCCCAAGGTAGAACAGATGATTAGAGACTCTGCTAAAGACTTTAGCAATTTGTCACTGCAATGACAAGTTACTGAATTCTAGGAAACAACTTCCTGGTTTAGGAGCAGGAAGTCTCTACATCATTATCAGGGTTAATATAGTGTATTTTAAAAAGACTCAACTTGGCTGTAAAATAAAACAGTAGAGATCATATGTAGTCACAGAAAAACTGTGTCTAACTTCTGAAGCTATCTTGAGCAAAGGCAACAAATCCTTTTAAGCTACTTGAGACATATACTCAAGGGTACTGTCTTTCAGTTTATAATATTACTGTAGAAAGCTTTAACCGCTTCTCTTGTTGTTATGGGTAGTCTGTTATGTTGAAACAACTATGCAGTTGGTATCCAAAGACTGTCCCAGACCTATTTCAGATGATGCAGTTCAGACTGTGGTGGCAGAAATGCGGACTAAACCTACTGGCATATTTTTATTTAGATACTGCATTTTATTTATTCGTGTTTTTTATTGAAATACTGTTATAAAACGAGTTCTGTGCAGGCTTCAACTGTCAGTTTAACATGAGATTTAAGTGCAATACTATAAAAAACAGTTCAGTTGTTAGGCTTTTAAGCCATAGCCTATTAGAACGAAAGTTCGTTAATTTATATTTTGTTCCTGTTGTTGATAGCGATTTAAATCCTACTTATAAACACCTTGAGAGAGAAAATATGAAATGCCTTTGGCTCCATATGCAAATGAGCTGTAAGGGCTCAGTATTAACAGTCTAGTTTTCGCCTCTCTCAACACGAGGCCAGCATATAAAAGGCAGTAGTTACTATGCATTGTAAATCACAGAGTAAAGGAACTATAATAAAATGAAAACTAATATTAGAGTTCTGAGAATTCTTGTGGGAAATATTATGTGGAAATACGGGGTGTGTTTTATTATTGCCAGCTTGTCGTGTATAAAACACTGAAGAGTGCATCTTTTTCTTTTTTTCTCTCCCCAACTAGTGCTGTGTTCTTCACTAGCTTGAAGAGTAACGGTACTCGTAGTTGCAGTCATAGTCGGTAACCAAACTGTTCATGTTTGCAGATAGAGATTCAGCTAAATTTCCCCATTAAGTTAATGTGCTAACTTTATATATATGGGAGCTTCCAGAAGGACCTGGGAACAAAACAGTGTATTCAAAAGCAAATTCAGTACACTAACTGTAAAGTTTGGTTTTATTTAAGTTGGTATATTTTGCATTAGGAACTGTTTGTAGCATTGGGTCGTAAATGTGTACTAAACTGTATATTTTGCAAGAGCTTTTTTAACTTCCACTTATAGTACAAGTTTCTCATCTTGTTTAGGGTTGAGCCTTTCCATGAAGGAACACCAGTATTTTCGCTGTAGTAGAATTGGTGTGTAAGCTGTTTAAGGAATGTTTAATTCTAATTAGAATACTGACCTCACTTACTGTTAACTTTTAGATTGAGTTTTGTTAATTGTAAGAACTTGCACAGTTGCTATAAATACCTGCTTTAAAACAGAGTTGACATATTGCACTAATCTTGAGTTGCAACACTGTTATTAAAAAGCACTTTTAAATTTCTTACTAGAAGGACCATCAGAGTACAACTAATGTTGAGATTTATTTTTTCTATACTGTCTGATGTTACTGAAAGATGTTACTCTTTCATATAATTTTTATAAAAGTATAAATCACATTTCTATAACCTAAAACCCTGTCATAGTACCATATGGTTGTTTCCAAAGCATTTTCTGTTTGTGTTAACATGTTTATATTATTTTTCCTCAATGGAGATTAAAATGATGTTGAACAATGCTGACTGACTATTTTTTTTTCCACTTCACATGTATCTTGGCTGTCAAAAACTTTGAATGGAACAGTTTGTGGCTTGTTTGTTTGACTTCAGTTTTTCTTAGCACCTTGCATTGTGAAGTCCCAGACTTGTATCATGAATACGAGGAGGAGTTTGAGAAATGCTGTCCTTGGACAGCTGTGACGTAAAATAAAGAGATTACAAAGATGAATTGGTAGACAGGGTGGGGAGGTGGGAGGGCAGGTAGTGCTTGTTTGGTGAATAAAAAGTGCCCACACTCCTACGTTCTCTACTCCTTGCTGGAGGGACCTGATGGCTCTGAAACCATTCCCTGGTACCGTCAGGTCCTGCTACCAGTGTAAGTTGTTCAGCGCTGTTTGCCTCTTGCACATACAAGGTGCACAATTCTTGTCAGTGCTGGCTGCATGCGATTTCTGTGGTCTGTGAAGTGGCATTTAGGAATTTCTTGTACCTTACGAATTGTACTATACAACTGTGTCCTACATGCAACATAGCCACTCTGGGGAGGACACTGTCTGACAAATGCAGAAGTTATGAAGTTCATAATCTTGGATTTAGACTTCGCTCGCACTATGCTGCCAAGAGCTGAAGGAGCTTTCTGAGTTTGGAAAGCTGCAGGGTCTAGGATCTTGGTGCTGTGTGCTATGCCAGTTTCTGAATAATTGAAAACATTCTTCTGTCAAGGAAACTGCAGTCCCTTGGTGGAGAAGAAAATTCACTTGCTGTCTTTCCCCAATGAGAGATGATCTTCCTTGTAGCCCCTGGTTGATTCTGAAATGCAGAGCATGTCAGTAGCAATAATAAAGGGCCTGATGCCAAGTGATGCTGTGTCCTGACCTTGCCTTGAATTTAGCACAGGTTTTGTGTTCCCCAGCCATTCTAGAGGCAAGCTTGGAAGTGAATGTGGTAGCCTTTAGCTTTGACTTTTTAAACAGGTGTGATTTTCAAGTTTTTAGCCTTTCCTTGATCCTGACACTTTTGGTAATCTTAGATTTCCCATCCAGTGCTCATTTAAGTTTCCCGTCTTTATCTTATCCTTTATGCAGATGATTTTGCTACAGTCAGTCACTTTTCACCACAGGTCAATAGAATTAGCTTCTTCTGGAAAGGAGTGATGTTTTGGTAAGTTGTATGAAGGACTAATTTCTGTTACTAGGCCTGATTCTCTCCTAGGCTTACCGTGGCGGTGAGAACAGGAGGTTTGCTAAGCGCCTGACTCGATGCAGGTACAGTACTGACCTGCAGGTGATCCTTAGGACAAAGCAGGTGACTCCTGCCCTACCTCCAACAGCCTTTTGAATGTGCAAGAATGTGGTGTGCTGCGCATAGCGCTGACCTCCTGAAACTAAATTCACAATACCATGGCAAGACAAAAATGCCCCTTTGATTGAAAGGATTGAATAGACATAGGAAGTTATTAATATGAAATGTATAATATATTAATACTAATATGTTAAATGGTGGGGCTGTGGTTCTGACTTACCAGCCTGGTGCTGTTCTGACCAACCTCCCTCCAGTTTACCCAAGATTAAACTTACGGTTGGAGATGAATTCGGTACAGAGATTTTTGAAAAGACTGCCATCTAGGCACATCTTGTGTTGCCAGTGCAGTGGTCTGTGGAACCATGGCACACTTCATAAATCATTTCTTCCTTCAAAAGTAACATTACAGCTAATTTATTGTCAGATATAAGGCTAGTTATATATTTCACAAGTAAGATCCAAACTCTTGTTTTATTTTGCAGTTGGGAGTAGGCATCCTTTGAGCTTGACTGGAATAGATTATTTTTATTCTGGAAATGCATGTTTGATTTGTTTAAACAACAAAACAAAAACAAAAAAAAGAAAGGAAAAATGTATTCAAGGCCAACTTAAAATAATCCGTCTTCTCTTCATGGTAGCTGAGTTTAGTCCTTACTAGAGTTCTAACAGATCACAGTGCTTTGGAAGAACAGAGAGATGCCTCCTTTTTCCACCTTTGGTACCTAAGAAAGATTGTAATTAATGCTGTTAGCCAAAAGCCTGTCACTTGTTTTGTGATTTTTTTTATTTTTTCTTTGCCCTTGTATTTGCTACTGGTACAGAAGAGGGCAAAATAAACATAAGGTCTATTTAGGTCTATAGCAGAGATGTGACAAGGAAACGGAAAACTTCCTAAACGAAAAGCTGCTGACTGCTCCATGCTTTCCTTGCATGCGATGGCAGAGCTGCAGCCAGCAAGAACCCCCTGCTTTTTGCGTGAATCAAGTAGAATCTTTTCTGGTATATGTAGGTATCTGCCTATTTATTTGCTTTTTGATATGCTAGCTTCTATCTCTTGTCATTCTTTGCTAATCTTTTCTGTGACAGCTATCCACAAAAGTCACCAAGAGCATTCTGCTTTTTTGTGCAGGTGACTCTTTCTGTGTGGGCACAGTTCTCCAGCTGCGGTATAGCT